CTGTCTCTATCTCTCTGTTCATTCCTGTCTCTCCTTCCCTGTTCACTCCCGTTTCTCCCTGTTCACTTCCGTCTCTCCCTGTTCCTTGACTAATCTCCTGCTCCGTCCTGTCCCGCTCTTAGAGGAGAAGCTGAACTTGGATGACAGCGAATGGGAGGACATCCACGTCATCACCGGGGCTCTCAAGATGTTTTTCCGGGAGCTGCCCGAGCCCCTCATTCCCTACAGTTTCTTCAATGACTTTGTGGAGACCGTCAGTGAGTCTCTCCGGCATCCGCAGCAGTTCTCTTGTACTCGGAGCAGTGTCGGGAGGAGGGAAATGATCCTGGGATCTAGATTAGAGTGATCTGCATTGCTCGATCATTTTGGAATACCGCTTCCTGATCCTAGTAAATGATCCGTATGGTGTACCACTTCCACATTTTCAGGGATTACATTAGGAGAAAAAGAAGGAATATATATATATATGAGGTGACGAGGGGCTGTACATAGAAATCTCTGTAATTTTATGACAATTAAGTGCTTCAGTACATTCTAGTAAGAAATGAAGGTTTTATTCAAAGTGCTTAGGTGCCGATTAGTTTAGATACCTGGAAAGTTTGAGATTTAAGCTTTGTTTCCTCCCTCTGTGCAGAAATACCTGACTATATGGAGAAGGTAGAGCGCATGAAGTGTCTGGTGAAAAAATTGCCGCCTCCCAACCACGACACCCTGAACTACATCTTGCAGCACCTCAAGAGGTAGGACAGGGCCCAGCCTGCAATCCCAGAGCTGTCCAGGCGGGGGAGCGTTCCGCTTAGAAATGGAAGGGCAGGCCCACAGCTGGGATTGGTGATCTTGAGAATACAGCAGTTAACGTTTGTGCAGAGCTGTGGCTGCAGCTGAAATCAAATGTATTGTTGGGCGCTTGCTGTAATATATACATCAGTGAGGTTGAAAAGATCATCTACTAAAATGGAAATTCTTTTGCCAGCCAGAAGACTTGACCATGTTTCCGAGACCCATAGCCCTACATTTATGAATAATATTTAATATTACAGCCCACAATTATGAAAACCTGATTTACACTGTAGGTACCTGGGGTCTGAGTGGCAGATTATTAGCCCCCATTATCCTGGTTGGCAGCACTGATGGTAATGTGCTACTCATGTGAACACATCATCCTGTATTTTTATACCCACAGTGCTTTGCAGTGCATTCCGAAAAATCACTCTGCATGTTCGGGGCTCAGATTGATGGCGATAATTATTCCTTGTGCCGCACCCCGACTACCAAAAATAAAAAGCGATTAGTTTATTTTTCCTAAAGATTTTGTTGGCGTCCGGGGAAAAGCTGGAAAAATGCACCACAGGGGATTCAGGAGCAGAAGTGGGAAATGGATTTAGCCGGATTGTGGGTCCGGGGACCATGGCCAGAGGTAACGGGAAAGAGTCGTGTCCCAGGGTCCTAGTTGACGTACCTCTCCAGTGGGCGGAGAGCCAGGCTGTTTCCCGGTGGAGCTGACACCCGGACAGGGGGCTGCGTGTCCCAGCTCTCTCGGAGGAGTTGTGGGGCGCCCGCTGGATGAGACAGAAACGCAACTGGAAACCCGTGCTCTGTACTCCCCCTCCCTCCCTGCGGCCCTGTGTTTTCTCTCTGCGCCTTTTTTTTTTTCATGTGGACGCTATGAGCAATTCCTCGGTCTCTGTGGTTGGGTGGGAATGTCATTTTTAGAAGAAGGCACCACCACGAGCCTTTAACTCCTTCCTCTCCGGCTGGAAATCCCAGCTCTCTCCAGGATGTGGCGCTGTCCGTGCGCACCCTTTGCGAACGAGCGAGAAACAGAAATGAATGCGCTGGATCAAGGGCAGATCAAACTGCTTGTTAAACATTTCGCTCAGTCATCCGGTTCCAAAACGGAGCTGCTTTGCTGGTGGAAATGAGAATCGGCATCTCCCCACTCCCCTCTCTTCAGCGCTGCTGCAGTTCGAAGTGTCAGGCTTCCATTTAACCCCGACTGGAGCTCAGCACCACAGGGCTTTGGTTGGTGCTCAGAATTGTAAGCACTTTCAGTTCTGAATTCGTAGGAATTTCAGACTCCGGCACTTATGACTAATGCTGGTGATCAGCTCGTCTGTGGCTAGAATACTGAGGCCCGGAGACGTGCAGAAGAGAATAATCCCTCAGCCCAGTGCTGGGCCAAGATCAGCACAGCCATCTCAGGGATCCCAATAGGATGCCCAAGACCCATGCCAAGCAGCCCCTCTCCCGGGCGCAAGTAGCCAAGGAGCTTTTGTTGAAGAGCTCTGCCTGTCTTCCACTGGCAGCACTGCAGAGGCCCCAGGACAGACACCACACCTCCCCCACCCCTCTCCCCTAATCCCTCGCCTGCTGCTCCCTGCCTCCGAGGTGCCATCCTCTCCCTCTAACCAGTGCCAGCCTGACAGCGCGCGGGGGGTTCTGGGGGCGCTGTGGAGTGTCCACGGGCTGCCATCTCCCTGGTGCTCTCCGCCATCCTCCTCCCCTCTTCTCCTCTTTCTTCCCACTCGGTTTCTCTGCGGTCACAACTGGCCCTGTTCTCAACCCTGCGGGGACGGCTCTGTCCCGTGACGTCTGGTCACGGTCCCTGTGCCTGGACGGCAGTTAGTTCCGCATTTCCCACTTCTGCTCCCAAATTCCAATTGACCGCCCATGGCGTATTTTCCAGCTTTTCCAAAAACGTATCGCTTTCCATTGTGGTAGGCCGGCAGAAGCGGACGTGCCTGAATGCAGCTCAAGGGGGATTTATTTGACCAAACAATTAACTGCTCATTTCAGGACTCTGAGAAACGCAAGTCAATATAGAGAGGGGAACGGCAAATTGTACTGCTCTGTCCTAATGGGTTTGTAACCTCAGTGTGCAGATGTTCTCAACGGCGGGCAGTCTGCTCTCATCACTGTGGCACAAACAGGCCCTTTTAGAATGACCTTTGACCCTGCACTTCCCTCTCTCCCTGTGTTCCCCGGGTGCAGGGTGATGGAGCAGTCCGACATCAACCGCATGACCACCCAGAACATCGGCATCGTGTTCGGCCCGACGCTGATGAGGCCCGAGAGAGACAACTCCAACATAGCCATCAACATGGTGTACCAGAACCAGGTGGTGGAGCTCATCCTCAGCGAGTACAGCCAGATCTTCGGCCCAGAGAGGCCAGACTTCCACTGACCTGTCCGCGGGGCACGGTGTTGGCCGGCCTCCTCCGAACGACACTCGTGCGGTCTTCCGCCATCTTTCTTTTTCCCTGCTGTCTTGGGAAGGGACAGTAGCCGCAGGATTCGGCAGCCGTCCACCAGGACAGTGACTGTGATGGGTGGGCTGGGAGAGAGAAAGGGGCGAGACTTCGATGTTGCACTGGTCACCTTTACACTGTTTTCACTGGAGTTTGTAACCGACTCTGTCTCATGCTCGCTCTGTCATGCATGGGCCGCTCTCAAAGCCCCCTGGTGGTGAAGAAGACAGAGATCAAAACGTTGTACTAGCAGACTCCTGCCACTGAAGCAGGCCACGGGGACGCGAATCACGAGCTTCTCCCTGAAATCACTGTGGCTCGGGTTCCCTGAACGGCTTGGCATTCCTCTAGGTCTGCGATTCAATCCCATAGTCCCTTGCAGTCGGGGCCAGTGAGACACAGGAGATTAGAGCAAGTCAGATGCCGAAACGTTTTTTAAATTATTTTTTAATGTTTTTTTAACAGTCGTGTCTGATTCGTACAGGCTCCCTCGAAAGACGTGGCGTGGTGCCGGAGATTTGGCACAGATATTTGTACGAGAAGGGGCCGGTGGTGTGGGAGCGCTCAGGAGGGGAGGCTTGGCTTGTGTTTTCCCAGAATTCTCTTCCTTTGTAACAGGCTGTCTGCCGTGCGGTGAATCCTGGACTCACCTGTCTAACTGGCCGTCTTCCACAGCCAGCAATCAATGGAGAAGACATTTTAACACCAGCACCATAAGACTTCAACGTTGTAGTCCTCCAAGACAGGACTTATTCATGCTGTTTAATTTTTTTGGGCAAAAATGAAGCACTGTTTTATTACATAAATGTGGATGCAGAAATGATGCATATTTTTTGCTTTTTTATTTGTTTTTAAAAAGAAAGGCATTCCTCCACCTCAAGCAATAGCATCAGCACTAGTATGAAACTGTGGTTTGTGTGTGTGCAAGTGAGGGTGAGTGTGTTCCAGTTTAGTTCAATTGAACATTATCTCACTAAGGCACGGTAAGCCAGCAGGCTGTGAGCCAAATTCAGAGAACGCACGGCTATGGTCCTAGGACAATTTAACATAGGTCAACACCAGATTCTCTGTCCTGTTCCATTAAGAACGCTGTGATGTCACTTCCTCTGCCTCTGTTTGCCTTGTCCTGAGGTAGCAGGACAGTGCAAATAGCCTAACAGAGACAAGAAGAGATTTTTTTTCTTTTGCATGTCTGCCCATGCTTACCAAAATTAGGGTTCTGAAAAAGATCAAAGCAACTGCAGGAAGATCAAGGAGTGCCAAACTGCAGTTATACAGCTTAAGAGTTTGGGAAGGTTTAATGTGATTCTGAGAAATTGTTTAGCAGTTGTTTAAAGTTGTTCATCTGCTGTTATCCCTCCCACTGACTGCACAACAAAGCAAATGACACTGGATTAAGAAAAGTTCACCTTCTTACCAGGAGTGACTGTTCTCCAGTGTCACTGTGTGAACAAAGGGTCATACTCTTACAGACAAACACGCAGGAAAGCCTTCCCTAACTATTGATACACATTAGATTCATCAGCTTTGTAAACAGAGACCTTTCTGGAATGGGTATGCATGATGTGTATGACAGTGAAGCCCCTATTTCAGAAAGTGCCTTTGAGAGTGTTGTTGGCTGTTAGTTTATGGGCACTCCTGCAAGCTAAAGATGTTTGTTTTTTTCCAATTATATTTAAAGCTGAATCCTCAAAGGCGCTGACAAAGTGAACCTCCTGAACATCCTCAGTATCAGCGGTGATACATGAACTGGACGATGCAAGGGGGAACTACGGGGAGGAGCATTTAAAACTAAGAACAGGAGGCGCTTCTTTACCCAAAGGGTGGTGGGAGTGTGGAACAAGCTGCCCATCCAAGTTGTTTAAGATAACACCCTGATTTCTTTCAAAAAACAGGATGAGATGCCTAGATCAGTTAGTTACTAACAAGCCACAATCCTCTTCTTGCTTCTTGCTTGTAATCATTCTCATGTTGTTAATGCCTGTTCTCAGGTAAACAAGGAGTTGGTAGGAAGAGGTACTTTCTAGTCCAGAATCAGCCAGTCCTGGTGACCCCAGTGTATGTGGCTCTTTGGTCTGTGCGGTAGACTTCCAGTTATTTAATTGAATCGGTAATTAATTGGTTAATAACACACTTTGTTTAGGTTGTAAAAATTTCCCTATACTGGAGAGCCCTGTACTAATCAGATCCCATCAGCAGAACAGAAGACAGGTCCCAGAACTGTACGCTGCTCTGGTGCCGAGTCCACTCGAGACCGCTGCGCCATGCTGACTAGGCAATGCAACGTTCAAGTGGTTCTTGTTAAATTTCTGGCGCTTACTACAACGCTGTGATCCTCTGCGACCGCTGCTTGGCTGAAGAAAACGCGCCAGGCGCAGAGACGTGCGGAAGACGGCTGGAAACGGGATGTGCAGTAGTTGACAGGCTCGACCCTGCGAGCCGCCGGCCGTGTTGGTGCACAGCCCCAGTGAGCCGGGCTCCAGCAATCGGAGGGGCCAGGAGGGCAACACTTCCACACTTACGGAGCCTCTTGGTCGATTCCTCAGTTTTCAGCGGAAGTGATTAATGTCTGGGAAGCGCCACTCTGCCACGGGTCCTGCAGTGGGAGACAAGGAAGGGGCTGGGCTGGCCTGTGGGTGGCAGAGGGGCACCGGCACTGGCAGAAGGGGCACAGGCACTGGCAGAAGGGGCACAGCTACTGGCAGAGGGACACAGGTACTGGCAGAGGGGCACAGGTACTGGCAGAAGGGGCACAGGTTGTGGACAGCCCTGCGTCAGCCTTAGGCCAAACTGAGGTTTTGCGCCCAGTGACCTCTTGACGGTCCCTGCTCATCTGATCCCCTCGTACGGTCCAGCGTGGATTTTTCTTTTTAAAAATCTACCACCCCCCCGTCAAGAGAGCTAATGCGTACCCCATGCCATTGCTTGTGGCTTCGCATTGTGTGGGATGGTTTGGCAAACGGTTTCTACCCACCGCAGCCCAGAGTCAGAGCCCATTTGTTTGTTGCCTGGGGGCCTGCTCGCCGTTCCTGTTGCGTGTCGAAGCGGCTGGCGTCGGATGACCCGCGCTGGCGTGTCAGTGCCTGCCGCAGAGGCCACCCTGTGGCTGACAGCCTAGTCAGGGGGATGCCGAAAGGCGGAGAAGTCCGAGCCGTCGCGCTGGGATGGGACGGGGCTGGGATTGAATGGGTAGGGGGGGTTACCTTTCTTTACTTTGCACTTCCAGGGCCTTTCAGACCCTCGTTCGGATTTCGCTCTGCCACGTGCCTTCTCTAAAATCCCCGGCACGTTCCCGAGAGCTCACGACTCAGAGGGGGGCTGAGGAGAAAAGATCCACCTCTTATTGTTGTTCTTCTCGGGGTTCATGCTCCGGTTCCAGTCGAAATCTCTTGCAGCAGGGTGGCCGGCGAGGGCTCTTGGCGAGTCGTGCGGGGGGGGGTTGGCCGAGTCGGGCACTGCCAGTTTGACCACGACCCCAGAGGACTGCGGGCCAGGGTTCGCCCAGCGCCAGCGTGCAGCCCGGAGTGGGGAGGGAGGGCATGACTCGTCGACTCGAATGCAGTATCCTCTGCCCACACCCCCACCCCCCCGCAACCACCAACCCCAGAAACAGGGCAAACGACCCCCGGGAAGTGGACATCGGGTAGTCGAATGGGCGTGGTCTTCCCTCCCTCCCTTCCAAAGCATTTCGAAACGTTAAAAAGAAAAAAACAAACACAAATTCCCCGGAGGAAGAGAAGAAGGCGCTTGCAGGCGAAATGGTGGATTAGTACCTGCCTGGAGCTCCAAACCCGTCCCTCGCGGGGCCCTCGACACTGGGAGGAATGTGCGGCTCTCGGAGCCCTGTAATCGAAGCGATTTCTGCTTTTAATAACGGCAGAGGAGGAAAAAGAAATACATATGTTAAAAAAATGTGATTCCCCCCCCTCCCCCTGACACACACACACATACACCCCCCTTTTTGTGGCTTGGTAATTTTATATTGACTCTGCGGGTTTGGCAAAGGAAAAAAAAAAGGCAAATGTGTAAGGAATTTTAATTTTTTTTTTTGCATTTTGCTCGCGTCTCCGGGGGTGTTCTGTTTGCATCGCCAAGGCCCTTCTTGGCTGAAATCGCCAGGTCAGCTCGAAAAACCGTTGGAGAGGATCTCGAATTCCTTCTGGGTTTGAGAGAGGCTTATTTGTGTCTTTAAATTGGAGTGTCCAGTGTGTTTCTTCCGTGATTTCTTTCCCGCTGGGTTTGGGCTTTACCTCAGCTCTGCCAGCCATGCTAGAGCCTGGCCAGCCCAAGAGGACGCAGGGCCGCCTTCACAGAGCAGGGCCGACTGGCTGACATTAGATACCGGGCGCTTGTGGCCCAGGCTGCGATGACGTCAGCGGTAGGCTCTGGCTCGGCGCTTCCGCGGTGACAGGAGGCCGTTCCGCTATTTTAAACAAGTTTGGTTTCCGTGCTCATGTTTCTCCCTCCGTTGCGCCGTGGCACTGTGTTATATTGATCCAAGGGGGGTCCGCGCGCTTGACCGAGCTCACCACTCAGCCTTTTTATTTTTGCTCGAAAGTGGGCTGGCCTTCGTGGATATATTTCTGTCTGCCTGTGCTGTGGCCACGTCAACAAAACAAGACTCCCCCCCCAAAAAAAACAAGGCTCTCTGTTTCTCGATCGGCCCCAGGTCATCGGCAGGGGCTGGGGTTTTACGCCTTGAAAGCTGGGGATTCACCTAAGCGACGTTTCCCAGAGGGCTGTGCTGACTGTGGCTGAAGGCTGCATCGTAAACACCAGCTATGGCACAAGCCCTGCTCATGGCTTCAAAGACCCCATCCCCAATTATGAACTATGAAAGATCACTTAAGGTATGCGAGTCCTCATCTGGGCTCTGTGTGACTGTGAGTCTGGCAGGCCTATTGGATAAGCAGAGTTTCTGGTGTTGCCTTGCCAACGTCCTGTCCCCAGTTCGAGAACAGGGGCAGGGCTGCGTGAGGGGCCTACAATCAAGAGACACAGTGGCTGAGCGGGGGATGTACCTGGAAGATGTTGCTGGTGGTACCTAAAGCAAATTGCACAGAAAAACGGAAACACATTTTTTGTAAACAGCCCCCGTGTTTGGTTTACCTGGCTGGTTTCGGCGGAACAATTACGGGGAAAGGTGCTTTGCTGAAGGTCCGGGGGAGGGGCAGAAGTGCCGCCATCCATCCGCCTGCCTGGGATTGAAACCCACAACCCCATAGTCAAGGGGGCACAGCCCTCACCTCTACACCGATGCACAGGCCCCTAATGCTGAGTGTGCCTGCCTCAGTAAAAGGGTCTGTGAACAGTCACATCGTTCATGGAGTTCAGTCAGATTTATAACCATTGGGCCTGTTGCTCTTCAGAACCAGAGGTTTAGAACATAAGAAAGGTTAGAAACAAGCCGTTTGGGCCCATGTAGATCATTTGGCTTTGCATTTCTTGGCTGTATTAGGTTTGGGCTCAGCTGTATTAGGTTTTATAACTAACTCCACTCCAAAGAGGACTAGGAGACCTACATCATCTGTCTGTTTCTTTGACAACGTAAAGTGGAGAACGAAGAGTCCTGTATTTGTTTTGTTTTCTTCTTGTTTTCTTCTAAATTATTGTTTTTTTAAATTGTTTTGGGGTGTTGGTTTTTATATAGCTGTGTTTTTTTGGAGTCTTTGAGAGACCAAGACAAAAACTGCAAACAAACAGATTTTGTACTGCATTTAAAACACACACACACACAGAGAAAATGTTTTTTGGATTAAGTGAGGATATTAAAAAAAGAGAGAGACAGACAATCCTTCTTTACAAATGTGGTGGTCTGCCAGTTTTGTGTCTTGTTGTCATTTTTAATTTTTCTTTTTCAGAAACCAAAACCTCTATCGCTGTGCCAAGATGACATTTTTTTTTTTTGTCGACAGATTTTATAATATGTCTGTAACCAATATTATTTCAGTTAGTGATGTGGGCTCTTCACTGCAACACAGCATGTCAAAGTATATCCAAGAATGGGGACGAACCCCCTTTTCCTTCCCTCCTTTCCCTCGCTCGCTCTCCTTAATGATGATGTCCAGTTGAAAGGGCTTGTCTTTGAGTTTTTTTTCCCCCCACAATTCACCTCAGAATAGGAGCCCCATCCTGCAATTTTCTGCCAGTACTTGGTGCGTCTCCAAAACTCAGCCAGCTCCCGCACAGCAAGAACTTGAGGAAATCTGGAAACGAGAGGAGGCCATTCGGCCCATGTAGTTTCGCTGGGTTTTCGTTTCTCCTTGATCCCAGAATCTCATCCAGCTGTTTCTTTAAACAACCTAAGGTGTCTGCGTCAAACAACATGGGTTGGTAGCCTGTTCCAGACTCCCAGATATTACAATGGTTTATTCATGTTATAATAAAGCTGGATAGTTTGTTAACCAAAAAGCAATAATGCAATTCAGTTAATTGTGTATTTTTACATGTATCTTGGAGGACATACAAGACAATTACTTTGCGCATATTCCAATAATTAAATGTATTTTCATCTATTTTGCACTTAAGTGATTTGGCCTGTTCTTTAGTGTGAAATCATTTTTAATAACTGTTTAGACCTCAAGCTCAGAACAAGTATTAATTTATTGTCCTGAAAGATGTTTAAACCGACATCTCTAATGCAAACAAGCTCTAAAAACGACGGATTTCAACCCGAGGTCCTAAGACACAGTCCAGAGGATCTTCAAAAACGGTTACATTTTACCTTTAAGCCTAAGGGTGCGTAAAATAACATTCACACCTCTGACAATATTTGAGGCGGCTCTGTGGGCAAGTAATGTTTCTTTCATAGTGGAGGCAGTATTTATTAGAATGATAAAAAACAGTTTATATCTTTCGTTAAAACCGAATCTTTACACTGATGGGTTGCATGAAATGGGATTCCAGAGTAAAAAACAACAACTTCAGTTTATATAAAATGAAAGTAGCTGTTGATTGGGTTGCCAATGGATGCAACTACCTCCGTAAGGGCGCCGTTAAACTGTGATTCAGAGCAGGTGAGACGGTTACCTTTCGAGCGGAGGACCGGGGGAAGTTCAGGAGACTTTGACAGGAGCAGGCCGCGCGTTCGTTTACGTTTTTATCGTGAAGTTTGAGAAGGTTCTAGACACGAACAGCTAAAAAAAAAAAACTCATTGTATGAACAACAAAAAGCCGTTTCAACGTTTTATTGCTTACAGCACAACTTACGCGTGTGGACATCAGAGGACAGCTTCGGGTATCCTGGGCGAAAATCAATGTTGTGTGAGTACATTTTTTCCCCCTCTCAGTCCCTCAAAATCTGCTTTCAATATATCACCAAAGTTCAAAACGTAGCAAAATTAAAAATTACCACCGGTCACGTGAAGAGCCTGGCGCCTTTTTAAAAGCACACAAGCGGATTCTTTTAACTCGAAAATGTAATAAACGTTTCTATTCTAGTTATTTTGATTACATTAAGGTATTTTTCCATGTATTGCCATATTTTATTTGACTTGTTCCAGTGTATTGTATGTTTATCGTGTTACATCGGTAGATATCCTGGAGAGGAACGGACCTAAATGTTCTCCGTGCCTGATTTTTAATGGTTTACCAATTTTATGTATGTTCTAGAGACTATGTAATACTTAAATTAACAAATGAAGAAGATAGACCATAAATACAAACATATGTGCAGTACACTTAATTTTAAAATGGATTGTTATAATTCATATGAATGATCCTTTCATCCAAAAAAACTCAGAATTGTACCCATTTCTACAACCGGTCATTTTACTGAAGCAATCTGAGTAAAGTACAGGTACCAGGGTACAACATCCCGGATTTGAACCCGCATCATTCTAGCTATGAGTCCAGACCTCTAACCACTACCTGATTCACTGTTACAAAATTACTTCCTGAGTGACCTGCACTCTGCCTACTTTTTAAGAACAAAAGAAAGATTGCAGACCAGAGGAAGATATTATGCTCCCCCTTTTCATTTAGTGACTCGGGACCTAGTGTAACCTACAGAGAATTAAAGAAGGGCAATGGGCTTGTGGAAACTGTGCGAGTTTGGAGATACTAACCAAGCATTCCCTAGAGGCAGAGCCTCAGTGTGCCTTACCGGTAGGGGTTAAATGGTCATCAGTCAATCGAGCAAATTTCGTTTTTATGTAGCACCTTTCATTCCAGTTTCAATTTTCCAGAGCATTCTGGAGGCACTTTACATAAATTATACCTTTACAAAAGTATAAAAAATACAGTTCAACCATGTATAAATGTTATTGAAAGGTCGATTTTCTTATAATTTCACAAGTAAGCTTTGAGATGAGATTTAAAAACAGACCCCCCACAAAAAATACCCCAACATAGTGGTAGGTTAATTGCCAGCAGCCATATCACTCTGCAACTTACAACTGGCAGCCCACTGGAGCTCAGCAGGTGTGAGCCTGGTCAGTACCTGGATGGGAGACCTCCTGGGAAACCTAAGGTTGCTGATGGTAGAGGTGTTAGTGGGGCCAGCAGGGGGCGTTACCCCTGCAGTCTATGTGGGTCCTAATGCCCCAGTATAGTGACGGGGACACTATACTGTAAACAGGCACCGTCCTTTGGATGAGACGTAAAACCAAGATCCTGAACCTCTGTGATCATTAAAAATCCGAGGGCGTTTCTCAAAAAGATTAGGGGTGTAACCCCGGCGTCCTGGACAAATTTTCCACTAGCCCTTAGCTTCATCACTCTGTTCTCCTCCCCACTGATAGCTGGTGTGTGGTGAGAGTACTGGTTTACAATGGCATCATCCAGACCCAGGTGGGGCTGCACACTGGTGGTGATGGAGGGGATCCCCATTACCTGTAAAGCTCTTTGAGTGGAGTGTCCAGAAAAGCGGGTTCTGGGAAAATTGTTCCTGGTGTGAGTGATGGACTAGCATCCCATCCAAGGTTTACCCTGCCTTGTCCCCGTTGCTTGCTGGGATAGGCTCCGGCTCCCCCAACAATCCTGAATTGGATAAAGCGGATAGAAAATGGATGGATAGATTTAAAAACCTCAATAGGTATTGTAAGGGTTGTGTTTTTCCAATAATACCCTATCCAGAATTAGTTGGGGTGTGTGTGTGTGTGTGTGTGTGTGTGTGTGTGTGGTGGGGTTCTTATTTTAATTTTAAGCAAGTGCACAAGACCACTACCACCACCACCCAACCCTTTCAGAAAAACCAGCAGCAGTTTGGTCTTCAGATCAATTGCTGAAGCCATGTGGCCGTGAGCTGTCACTTCCAGTAGCGCCAAAGTGCAACTTGCTGGTGAATCACTATGCAAATGGAGAGCAGAGTCAAAGCGCTGTGGGGAAATCAGATGAGACGACTGTCAGAGAGGTCATTTATGGTAAAGAGAGATCGATGTGGCTCTTGCCTCTGAGCCGCATGCCATCTTCTGAAAGACCAGAAACGCAGGCTGGAGAGAAGGGGAAAGAAAAGCTTAAAAATAGAGCACAAGCTCAGTGGCTCACTCTTACTAAAATTAAAATCTCGTGACTAAACATGCAGAGGTCGGGATTTCTGTCATGCGGTGATCAGAGTGTGTCTAGTGACCGAATTGAAAGTTACTAGAAAACTCAGTTTTCAACATTAGTATTGAGGAATTTCCGTGGGCTCACAGAGAGTGGGTGGGTGGGGGGCGTGTGGACCTGATTTTGAAGTGAGTTTTTTTCTGTCCTGTAAAGTATTCTAAGTCATAAAGTCCTGGGCTGAGAGGACTGCCATGGCAGCAGTGTGGAGCAGACAGAGCTCGGGACTGGTCACTGGAAGGTTGTGGGCTTGGAGCTGGAGCGATTCGTTATTGTTGTGTCTTTGAACTTGCTGTGCAAAAGCAAAGCTCTCCAATTTGCCATTGTAAATGGGACTTCGTTCACAGCTGATGTACCAGGTAAAACAAAGTTTGAAAAAGTAATGAAAAGTCACAAAACTACTTGAGTGTACAAAAGTGCAGGAGGGCTTTCTACTGTATGATTTGGCTTGCTCTGTAAGCTTTACAGAACACATCAGTGGTGCAAACAAGCCACTTCAGAATAAATAGATTATGTTAGGAGGTCCACCAGCGCAAGGACGCAGGGACTCAAGGGAAAATAAAGTTTAGGACAGAAAACCTGAGGTGCATGTTTACACAGAGAGTTGTGGGAGTCCAGAACCAACTCTCTAGTCTTGTTTTTGAACGGACTTACGGGATGGAAATAATTCTTAGATTAGCAATCACAGAGGCACAATGGACCAAGGGTTTCAAGCTAGAAGAGCACATTCTCGTGCTCTTATGTGAAAGCTTATGTTGCAGGAAGGTGACTTTGGCATGCAGACAACCACAGGTTCAAAGTCACCCTGTGACATATTGTGTTCTCCATTTTATGTATACCTGAATATACCTTCATGAATAGCCTGGCCCCAAGTCCATATACTCTATCCAGTTTAGAAAGCAAACACGTTTACAGATTTTGAGTTTATAAAGGTGGTAGAAATTGTTTGTTGCAGGCAGTGTTTAAAGTTTCCTCAGGCCCCTGAGAAACAATATACACTTCGACTTCAGTCCAGTCTATTGGAACTTATCACCATTGAGGGCCACTGGTCTTATCAGCTCAGTAAGGATGAAGATTTGGTGGAATACAAGTATTGGCAGACTATATTTGTGAAAGTGTTTTGGTTATTTGACATTCTTGTTCTGCCTAGTGATACAGAGGACACAATTGCAGCATGATGTAGACAGAAAGAGTAGAACACATTGCCTCATGTTTCCTTTTATTTAGAAGGTATTTACACACAAATGTAGAAAAAACAAACCTAGCGCAGAAGAAATTAAGAATAATAAAAATACAAAGTGATACTGTTGCAAGATAACATTTAAGTGTTTATAAAATACATTTTTAAAGGTCACCAAAAATACTTAGAATTTATTATACAAAAGAGAAAAAACAAGTATAAAGCAACCGCAAATTCTTAGCACCCACTTCTTCAGAGTTGCAGCTATAGTGTGCTTTTGTACCCACGTGTGGTAAAATTAGACAGAAAGAAAGGCACATGCTTGCAAAAAGCATCTTGTCTTCAATAGCTTCTTATCAGTACAAGTTAAACAGTGGTATCATGCCTTCAGCATTGGTCCCCTCCATGTACAGACTTACAGTCGCAGATCTACACTCACGGCCTGAAATTTCACAGAATTTGTCAATGCTGGTTTGGACTAGCAAAATCTGGACCAGCTCTTGTGCAAATTGCTCTTGATCTTGCTAATTAACAAAGCATTTTCACGAAGTACGTGACAGCTGTGTGACTTGTGGCATTACAGCAGTGATCGTAGTTAGTCTGCTCTATGCTGGGTGTCTGTATTCCTCCTTTCTTTCTCAGTTCTGTGCAGGCCTGGATATCTAGCTGATGGGCACTAGCTTTGTTTCTGCCCCTTCCCTGTTTAAGGATAGAGTGTCCTGCCCTGCTATGATGTGCAGCAGAGTGAACAAGGTTTGCTTCCCTTTTCAGATACAGGTAAACATACAGTGGCTGTATACCCAGTAACCCCTCTGTAATCACTTTACAGCTTTAATCTGTGTAGATTGTTGCAGAAGATTTTCCCCTTCTCTGCTAGTGAGTGTAGATAAGATTCTATCTGCTTGCCATAAGCGTGCATTAGATTTAAGGCATCTCTGCACCTGAAAACGAGGGTAGATCACAATAGCTCTTCACCACCACCCACCTCCCACCTCTTCCCAGCTCTTTACATGCGCAAGACAAGGCAGACTGCTCTTTGTTTGAAAGTATGCAGTTTTTTAAAAAGGTTCCAGCATGTTAATTTGTTACATTCTAAGCAGAAGCAATTGCACTTGAACATTTCTTACAAAATAACAACAACAATAATATCAAAGTCCATCTTTCCAAATTTTAAACAGTGCAAAAATATCCAAAGTTAATCCACAGATCAAACTTATCTGTACTAAAATACTAAATTATTTGTGCTTAACAAACACTGCAATGGGATATAGAAAGCTTAAGATGGTGTGTAGCTTCTCCACGTAGCTACGTCAACAAAATACAGATTTAATGTAGAAAAAGCAAGGAATGTTTTAAAGTTGAAAAACAGTGGACTAAGGGTTTCAAAACCCATCTGTCCACAGTTAGATAAACAGTGCATTAAAGGTTAGGACTGTGCAGCAGCCCAACCATAGCTACAGGGTAATTACCTACCTTCATCATGAACAAAGTCTCCAATAATCTCTTAATTTGGAATTATAAATGGATAATTATGGATCCTTTTTATATCCTCCCATTTTGGAGTCAGCAGTCTCAAATCACCACTATAACTGCTTTACAGTGCTGTGGGTTGGGGGGCTGTGTGTGCTATCCTGAAGAAACAGGCTCTTGTTGGAGCATTCAGACAGTTTTTACACATGAGTAGGAGTTTAGGCATCCATTGGAGGAGTGCTCTCTCTCGCTGGTGACATTGCAAACCCACAGGTGCATTGCCAGCCTGAATCTACCTTCGCCAGTACGAGCTAACCCATCTGTCGCAGGGAGATGACTGTCCAGATTGGGACTGAAACCATGTTATTATTATGGTACTGGGTGCACGCTCAGACCTTTTTCCTGGGTGTGCACAGGGGTGGCTCACCGATTGGAGCCTGCTGCTCTGGCAGAGAGAGGGCAGCGAGCGCAAAGAGTTAAAAAGGAATTTTAAACAGACACCTGCTGTTGTACGTGATGCCTCAAAAATAGCTGAAAGGCAGGATAACATCAACATGAATAGCAACTTGACCATGAGAGGAATGCACACTCATTAACCCCCATTCATGGTATTATCATAGGGTGAGCATAGCTGGGCTCAGACTATGAAAACATATGTAACACCTAATTCGTAATTTGTGGAAACTGTAGGAAGTACACCTTGAGTGTGTCTCCTTCAGTAATCTCTGGAAGTGGCCATTTTCGTTACAATTAAACTCATCTCAGACCTTCACTGGACTGCTCTGTGACTCCTTGCATCTCTTCACTAGGCAAATGTACCAAAAAATTCAATGTCCCGCTTTCTGAGAGTACAGGTGTCATTTTGGTACGCCAACCACATCTTTACAATGTACCACGTTTTGACCTTATGCCACCAGGGTCTGGTCTAAAGTGCTCACCTTGTTCTCAGAAGCGGCACCTTTATTGGTTGAGGTAATTGGGCCCTCAAATTGTTTTTATATGAGCACTGTACCGTATGTGTTTTTATGTGTTTTATATGCAAGCCACTTTGAAACAAAAGCATCCTTAAGCAAGCTCTAAATAACACACAGATGGAGGTAGGTAATATTCCCTTTTGTAAAGAACACTCAATGTTTAATCTTTCTAAAATTATTTTTTCTTTGTGCACAGCATGCTCCGTTACTCTTTCATAAAAAAAAATAGTAGAATGAAAAAATAGCAAATCAAGAATTTAAACAAAATCCTTCCTTCTCAGATCTGCCTGGTCTGTAGCAATCTCGCTTATAGAAAATAGAGTAGATTTCTCTAGATATTTAGAAAATTTCTAAATTTAAAAAATTAAAATAAAATCCCTGGTGTGCGTCACAGTTTTGCATGATCAGGGTGTTTTTTTTCAAGAAAAAATCTGTTTGAGGAGTTTGTGTTTATCGCCGTGTGGCTGCATAAATTTACAATAGCAATGTATCTAGAGGGTTTAGCACCAGCATGTTTTATAAAATACTGATAAAGCAATACTCATGAATAAATAAAAGCCAATTACAATGTGTCCTACGTAGGACACACATTCTTGTCTTCCAGGAGCCAGTCCAGTAGTGTCTCCACACTTCATCCCACATGCTAAATGTGAAGCTTCTCTCTTTGTTCATTGTAACAGCCATTCTGCGGAAAGAGAGCCTTGATGGCAATCAGTCTTTTTTTTCTCTCCCCATCTGGAAGCAAAGCATATTTTGGCAGTTACTGTACACACTAGAGTTTAAGCGGTGTGATTGATGCTGTTTGTTCCACATTGACTTGATCAGGGGTTGTTATCCTATAAGCAGTTTGAATACAATGCACACAGAGAGCATCTTCCAATGTACTGAACTTAGCAATGTGTTAAATGTATTGCAAATGTTGTTGTCTTAATTGATAAAGCCACGGCTTTGATCATTTATAGGCACTGACAGGGATTTATCATGCTTTTGTGCATGACGTGGTCCAAAGTCTTTGTAAACTTTGTGTGAGCCCCATAAAAAAAGATACCATTTATTTTTCAAAAGCTCTCTTTGGGAGAACTGTCCAATGCAATTGCTGGCCTTCCAGAAACACTGTGCTATCCCTTTGTGTCTTCTGCCTCTTGGCCCTGTTCTTCTGTACCATCGTCGGCAGGGCACAATGTTTTTTCTGACGTATAGCTGTCACTTTCCTCGCTGTTAGTCCTGTCCACTTCATGCTCTGTCTGGTGCCCGTTGTCCGCCGGTGCCTGCTGCTCATCGCTGTCTTCACTGCCCTGTTCTCCGTCCTCGGTCAAAGAGGACTCGTCGGTAGGCATCGGCTGCTGCTGAAGCTCTGCCCTCTGGGCAGCAGAGGAAAACACGTTTTGCATCACCAAAGAAGGAGACGAAGTCTCCGTTAGTAGCTCTTCGCTTTGGGAGCCAGAGCCCAGATCGAGGGCAGCATCTGCAAAGTATGAAGGTGTGACCTCTAGTCGTAGCCCCGCCCTGCTGGGGGCTGTGTCCAAGTCCAGGCCGTCCTCTGAGTAGGAGGAGGATTCGCGAAGGGGTGTGGCTCCTGGCTGCAGCTCCTCCCCCATGGCGTCAGGGTCCATGTCTCTGCGGCAGTAGGCATAGCGGTGGTTCATGTGCTGGGAGTAGGACCCAGAGTGGGAGAACCTCTTGCCGCACTTGTCACACTGGTAGGGCTTTTCACCGGAGTGCAGACGAGAGTGCTCAATCAGATGGTGTTTGTGCTTGAATGCCTTCTTGCAGATCTTACACTGGTGCGGCCTCCTGCCTAGAACAGGGAATACAGGGATTAGATTTATTTTCATCTTTGCCATAATTTGCATGTTGCATGTTCAGTTCAATTTGTTCCGACGGAAAAGGATATTAACGTGTGACTGTAATTGAAGTATGTACTGTATGTAACTGTGCTGCGGCTGAAAAGAAAACTGACCAACTTGCAACAGGTTGCAAGGCATTGAAGGGAACCTTAACTGCAGGTCTGGGGAAAACCTTTCTTCCAGGCCACTTCAGATGAAGTTTAGGACTGCAAATTACTCATTTTATAAGCACACTCTTTCGGTAATGCAATTGTTTTGCTGTCAAAGGGTGCTGTTCATGCTTCTTCTCACCCAGCTAGAAAGCCCTTACGCGCAGGCATTGGAGTGCATGTTATCTGAGAGAGGCAGCTGCAGTTAGGTCCTTACCTGTGTGCTCGTACTTATGGCGAAGGAGTGAACTGCTCTTCTGAAACGTTTTGTCACAGATGTCGCAGGCGTAGAGCCCCTCTTCTGTTTTCTTCAGCCGCTTTCTGCCTGGGCCGTAGTCTCCCTCTGTGCCGTCATCAGTGAAAGAGAGGTAGTCCAGACACCCCCTGGTCATGGCCTCCCCCTGCCGAAAGAAAGGGGTTAATTTTCTAGATGGAGAGCTCTTTCCCTTAGGATGAGTAGGCTTGAGGCTGAAGCCAGAGCTTCTGTATCTGTGGCAGCAGAGATGCATTTATGACTGAGGATAAGAGGCACTTCTTCACACAAGGTGGGGGCGGGTGTCTGGGATGAGCTGCCTAGCCACGTTGTCGGAGCTGGTTTTCTGGGATCATTCAAGGCACGTCTGGATGAGATCCTCAGATCCGTGAACTACCGGAAAACCAAACAAGCAAGACAGGCTGAATGGCCTCTTCTTGTTTGTAACCATTTCTTAGTATCTAGTCATTTGTTGTTAAAGCATTCACCACAAAGCCTTGAGAGTTCTGTTAACAATCCAAGACTAAGTGAGAGTCTTGGAAACAATGTGGTGAGTCATGAATACAGCTTCTGGCTCTAGATTCCAAGTCTAAAAAGCTCTGAAGAGTGAAAATTGATGGGAAAGCATAAGGCTGGCTTCCCACGCATCACTGAAAATGTAATTTCCAGATGCAGATCAATCATTAAAAACTGAACAAAAAGAAAACCCCGGTAAAAGGTAGTAAAAAATGATGAAAACTCCCATTAGACGGACAGGTGTGAGGTAGTTGACTGTGTAGTCATTACCTACAAACTGGCACAGCTGGTAAAAAGCACAGCTGGTTAAAGCTCTTAATGCATTTGAACTCAAGTTCGCAGTCCACAGTGTGCTTCTTATCTGCTTCTGCACATGCTGAAGTGCATTTAAAAGTGAGAGCAGGAGGCACATCTTTACCCAAAGGGTTGTGGGAGTCGGGAACAAGCTGTCCAGCTCTGTGGTTGAAGCCTATACTTTGATTTTCTTCAAGAGTCAGTTGTATAAAAACCTTGAATTAAATAACTATTAACTTCCCAGTGAGCTACTGTAGGTTACAAATAGCTTCTTCTCATTTGTAACCTGTCTTATGTTCTTATGAAACTGCCTTATTTTTTGCTGGCCCATCGGTAGATTAATTTCGCATCATCTTGTTCAGATTACAACTTTAAAAACCCCAAATCCTTGTGTCTAACAATCCAATTGAAATGTAATTATGGGAATGAGGGCGATATATACTGTAAGTATTTTCTATAAATCGTAATTGACATTACAACAGTTTTGCTTCACTGTTAATGAAGTGTCTTTGCATTGGGGATATCTCAGCAAGGTGTCGATTTTAACAGTGTGTGACAGGAAAGTCTTGGATGAGAGACAGTCTCAATGGAAAACTATTAGGATCCACAGGATTAAGCACAACTATACAGAATTAGGCACACCAAAATATAGAAGAAAGTGAAACAGCTGAGGTTGTGCTATTTTTTAGCTTTTAATCATTAAAATCGTGGAATTGTGTGTAAGTGGCAACAGTTTAAATTCCAGATTAATGAAGGGAGCTGGTTGTATGTAGACATATTACATGTATCTGATATTCCCGTTGTCAAAGCAGACAATGATTAAATGATGTTTTATACGGTAAAACCTCTGCATACTCTTAATACCGTTTTTTGGCTTTGATGTGCTAATGCCAGAAACATCTTTGAAAATGTGCCCGTGTTTGCAGATCAAATGCCCTTTGACTTGATGAAATTGCTTCCTCTGCTGCTGTGAAAGCATGAAAAATCTGCATTTCACTGTTAATGTGTGGGCTTTTTCTGCTTTATATTTTTACTTTTTAGGTTTCGTTCACATTTTTCTTTGTAGTTAGAAAGTGACAGTACAGTTCACGCATGAATCATGTTTCCTCAGGGACTCTCTGCAAGGCAGGTCTTTTCTCAAACTTACACGTCTGGAATTTCCCAGCTGAAGAATTTCAGTAAACACAGTAAATAAACACTGATCAACTTCAGTGAAGGCATCTCTGCCTCTTAGGGAATGCCCGCAGAGGTGAATAATGCTGTAACAACACTGTTACTTCCGGTGTGTGGATCTGAAAAGCACTATAAAGTTGCCAAAAACTCTGGTGATTCATTGCTATTTTAAGTATTGGGTGGGCTACTTAAGCTAAGGTTACTCTAAGAAACATAGCTTTACAGTCATTGCAGTTGTTTACACTTCAAAGAAACTTGCGGGGGCTCCTAATTCTAATGAGGTGGGTCACAATTAATTAGTTTCCATGCTAAATTAAACCACTATATTGAAAAATTCTAGGGTGATGGAAAAAGTGAATTCATTACAATCAAAGACACTGTGCACGGGGATGAGTGTGCCTCTTCTGTGCACAAAGCTGTGTGCTGCAGTCAATGAAAAATGTGGTTATAAGATGTACTGTAATAGTGCATCCTAATCAGCCCATCGGTGTTGGAATCTTTAGAAAGCAGGAGCTTTCAAACACCAATGCATCAATCTTGATTTAGCAGGCTTAGTGTGTTAGCAGGCCTCTGAGCAATGCTGACCATACCAAAACAGCTCAAATATATCAAATAGGGTTCAGGTCTGATTCCCCCTTCTCTGTCTCTCTCTTTATAAAAAGTGTCATTAGATTTCAGTTTTGCAGTGATTCCTTATTCTGACTGTTGTTCATCATCCCTCCTCTGGTTATGGGAAACTTGGTTATTCTTGGTTATTAATCAAAATTAATCAAATTAGCAAATGGAAGCCCATCCTGAAAGAAAAGGGTACAAGGTTGGACTATATCCTGGGAGGGACACCAGTCCAATGCAGGACATATTGATAATTTAGATCACTGTTATTCACTCCTCGTCCTGGAGGGTCGCTGTGCCTTCTGGTTTTCATTCCAATCTGGGTTCATAAGAACTTCATATGAATCAGTGGTTCACTTAATTGGTCCGTATTGGCACTGTTTCCATGCCTTTACTCATTGATGATAAGCTACAGTAGACTGTGGCCTTCCAGGACCAGGAGTAAATATCACAGATATAAAAGGTTGGAAATTGGACAGACTGAATACCATCCAGTTTGTAACCTTTTTTATATTGTTTAACCATGTTAAAATTGCTGCATTTTCTTTACTTGAAATCACAGAACTCTATTGTAATTAAGGGTGTTCGTCTTTAAAGTTGGTTACAACCTCCAGAAAAGTAGAAATAACCCATTTGAATTGCTTACAATCATTGCTTGTCTCTCCTGTTGGATTCTCTTTAGGAAGGACTCTGGGTCTGATTCAAACATGTAGGTCATGGGAGAGAGGAAACCAGTCTTAGCTGCTGCTGGATTCAGTGGTATTGGTGGCAGGCCATCTTGTCCTGCATTTCTCAGGCTGGGGGTCAGGATGGAGTTAAACAGGGGGAAAGGACTGTAAACTGAGTGGCCAAACCCCGAGCTCCTGCTATACATCGCCTCATGGTGCGGGGGTGGCGTTTTCCTGGGTGGGCTTGCCATCTCCTTCTTTTCAATGGCCGGGGATCTACCGTTCCTGTTTCTCTCCTCACTGGGTTCCTCTCTGGACTTGGGCAGAGACAAGTCCAAAGGCTCTGACTGCAAGCCACCGGAGGTAGGGGTCCTGCAGGAAAGAACGGCCTTCTTAGAAGGAGGGGAACGCAGAGCAGACCCCGCCCCGGGTGGCACGCGCCCTCGCTCCTGGTAGGGAGGAGTGGCTACCTCCATTGCAGAAGGGCTGCTAGGGTTAGCTGGGCTACCTCCTTCCTTGAGATGTGGTGGCCAGAATGCATGAGGGCTGAGGGTGCTTGGACATGTAAGAGTTGGGGACAGCATGGCAGCTGGGTGCTGATGGTGAAGTGGCCTCAGTCTGGGTAATGCTGTCCTGTCTTCGGAATAGCCATTGGTAGCAGGGCCCAAAGCTACGCCCTCATGTCCTGGGGAGTGCCTGGAGAAGTTAAGAGGGGAATCATCCTTGCCTCTAGGACCTTCTGGGACCTCCATGGCCTCCCTGTTCATCTTGCACAGGTACCTCTCATGCTGGAACAAAACAGCGGCACTGGGGAATAGCTGAGAGCACCACCTGCATGTCACCCCATTTGACACGCTCCCCTCTGACTCCGAAGACTGGCAAGATACCTTGTCCCTTTCCATCCAGGGCTTGTAACTCTCCTGGGTGTCGTTCCCATCCTGGGAAGGGTCTCTACCTGGCTGCACACCTCTGTCCTCTCCTCCCATGGAAAAGTTTTCTCCCAGTTCACTGTTAGCACTTCTCTGGAGCATCTTCTGGAGCAGGTGCTCGAACTTGCTGTGTGGATGCAAATAAGGCATTAGTGCGGTCCCCTTAAAAAAAGCATGGTGCGGGAATTCCACTGTGTCCGATCCCATGTCCCTGCTCCTGGCAAAAACCAGGCTATCCTGTGAAATCAAGTCCTCCATATGAGGCTTTTCCAGGGACCTCTCTTGTGGTCTGAAAACATACAGAGAGCCCAGGCCTTTCATGGTGTCTTTGGCGCCTGCCGCTGGGAGAAGATTCATTGTGGGTGATGATGGAGATGAGTTGACGTTTTGTCCGCCATATGACTGTCCGTTCATGTTGCCCCCGCTCAGACACTTCTTGCTGCTGAGGTGCGAGCTGTAGGAACCAGAGTGCGAGAATCTCTTCTTGCAGTTGGCACATTCGTAAGGTTTCTCGCCTGTAGAGGGGGGGGAAAAAATATGTAATTAAGTCTTTCTAAGGCCAAATCCTAAGCCACCCAAAAAGGGAAAGGAAGATTTCAACTTTTCATATTTGTTCATTTGCTCAATCAGTCTGGTGCTGTACAGTATCTTTGCAAGGCCCGCATCTTCTTCCACACGCTCGCACAGCCCAAGCCAGGATCGAACCCAAGACCGTAGAGCTGTGGTGCAGCACTGTTAACCTTTCACCTCTCTGACTGGTGCTAGTTCTGTGAGCAGTGTGAGAGATGGCAGACGGCACACTTTGGAGGAATTGACCCTTCCATAACCGTTGCTCCCTCTTTTGCTTTTACGAGGGCGATAGAAGCAATAAGCGTGGGGTGAGGCCACATTCAATTTTGATCGTAAGAAATGTACATTTTAAAATAAAAGCTATAACCTGAACTTACCACTGTGAATGCGAATGTGCTCTTTCAGGTGATGCTTGTATTTGAAGGCCTTTCCACACTGTGTACATTTAAATTTCCTGTTCTCTGTTGCTTGCTCAAACGATGGATGCTAAAACAGATGATAAGAAAAATGAAATATTGACGTGTTTGAGGCCTGTTGAAATGAGTGACATCTCATATTATGTGTACAGAAATCTACCAGAACCTTACCTTGCTCTGCGCCTGGTTGTGCATTAGCATGTGCCTCTCCATCTGCGGCCTGTAGGTGGTGCTGTATCCACACAAGGGGCACGCCAGATCGCCGCTGTCTCTCTCATGGCAAAATTTCACATGTTCGCGGAGGGACGCATCACGGCGATATGTGCGCTGGCAGAACGGGCACGCAAGAAACCCCCTTGTACCATCAGGACTCCCGGGTACCGCTTCTGAAAAACCCAGAAGGATGCCCATAAAAAAAACTGGCACCAGCATTAGATCGACATTCTGTCGCGTGCGGTTCTGCTGCAGTGATGTTGCTTCCATTGACTCTGACCTGTCTGCAGTCCTTAGGTACGTTCGATGGTTCTGTTTGCTGACTTTATGTAGTAGCACTGCAAGCGGCCATATCTGATCCTACATGGTGCTTTCTAAATGAAAATAAAGCTTTCACTAAATTAAAAAAAGCTAAATATCACCAAGGTAGTGAGAGACTCATCACATCTGTTACAACTCTGTATACAGTACAGTGAAGTAGCACTGTGAGGGGGTGGGGACTGATACTAGAACTTGACATGCCTTTTTTTAAGTCAAATTTGGTGACTGTATTTTCCTAATCCAGGTTTTGCTCTGTTAGTTTCATTTCTTATGAAATGATCTCTGTGATATTGTTTCTTAAATGCAGTGGGTATTGACCCCGTCTCAGTTTTATTTTCAAGCTACTATGAATTCAAAAGAAACATTAGTCAGTAGCTGAAGGAGTGACAGGTGTTACTTGTGCAACATCAGTCAGTGTTAAATGATTGTGTGGCACAGTGTTTCATTCATCGCTGTTGTTCTGTGCTTCCTGTTTATTTTCCTAAAGAATATACTTCTCGACAATTTGTACATCTGAGCTCTTTCTGTATTTGTATAAATCACAAATTGGTTGTTGTCCTACTTGCTGTTATACTGTAATTTCTTATCCACAAAGTTGAACAAAAAGCAAATCCCCATTTTATCCTACAAATGGAGGTTTTTGAATGAAAACTGGGGTTGCCATTTTAATTTATAAGAATGAAAAACATTAAAGTTAGGCTAAATGTTTTTTTTTAATGTATACCTTTTTGTTTTATCGAAATGAATACTTTTTCAATATTGCCAGACTTTGTGCACTAAGAAGTCCCTGATGGTTTCATCTGCACGAAACCGTGATCAACCAGCAAAACAACATGCACAGAAATTCGCTAATACTAAAACACAGTAGTTTGGGGCCTCTTTTTCATTCATGTCCTATAGAGGGTTCATGACATGGCCTGTTTATCTCTGTCACATTTGTCTTTGACTTGAATGCGGATTGTTCTTTCTATATGTTGTTTCATCCTATTGGCGTGAGAACTTTCTTCAGTGTCGCAGTATTCAACGAGCAGTGTGTGTTCTCCTTCCTGTTTACTCTTTTTGCAAACCTCTAAACACTAGCTTTCACAGATATTTTCACACAATGATTTGCCATTTATAACCATCTTTTACTTTTTTCTGTGTTTGTTTTTATTCAGCTTCTTGTGAATTGGAGCCATTAAACATCTGTGGAATGATAAAGTTCAATCTGGCCATCATCCGTCGTCTGTATCGAGTGAGTTTTACATTTAAAAAAATTGCTTCATCTTTAGGGCTGTAATCCAAAATCTTCCGTCAGAATGGCAGAAAAATCATATTTCAATAATGGCGTATAATATTTTTGTTAGTAACATTGGTGGGAATTGGTGAAAACTGGAAAACTTTAATAAAATCGAGTAATTAGTAAAGTTTAGTATCAACCAAAAATGCAGAACACTATTAATAACCAACATCTACCTGTTGAAAAAGTGAACAAACTGGCTCTGTACTTTTTGTTTTTTTAAATCTTTTTACAGTCAATTACAAGTGTGGAAGCAGGCTTGTAAATGTGATAGTTTAGTGTTTTCATCTGTAAAAAGGGTATCATATCATTTATATTGCCAGTTCAACCACGAGAACTCTCAGAACTTCTTTTCAAAATGTAATTTTCTTTGACGAAATTTGTCGCTGATGGCGCTGATAAGAGAGTGTGTTTGTTAGGCTGTTTTTTTAGCCCTTCACCTGCCTGATCAGCAACGAGGCAAGACCAGGGTGTGTGTGTTCAGCTCTGGAGGGGAGGCCACTCCTCACCTTGTACCTCGGGTGAGCCATGTGCCCCTGGAGACCAGCTCCTTGGGGGCAGATCCTCGTCGGGGGCTGCTGGGTAAATAACAGCAGTGCCGTTCTGCGACAGACGGTCTGGGGGGCTTGCCGGATTCGGGGCCTCCCTCAGCCTCTTCAGAAAGTCATAGCGCTCCATCTCCTCATCTGTGATGGGTGGTTCACCCTGACCTGAAAGACCGCAGATACAAAAAGTCCTTTTTAGTGGTGGCCTTCTACACTGGATCGATTCCAGGAAGGCTTACAGTGAACATGTTAACCTGCAGTTCTGCTTTTGATAGTAGCATTATTAATCATTATAAAATAATTTTTTAAGGAGTTCTTCATGACTTCAGTCACACTGGTAGCCCATGGTAAAATCCCCAGCAATCTTAATGGTAACAAGCATTTGAATCGTGGTCTTGCTCTAGGAGTGAGAATAAGTAATAGTAATGATATTAAAAATAAAACTCTACTGGTTACCAGCTACTGAAATGTCCTTCTGTTTTAAGCAGACACCACAGTGGAGATTCACTCTCTGGCCTTCTATGCATCTTTCTGTGGTGTCCCTGGCCAGAGGGGGGACAGTACTGCACATGCGTCCAAAATGAACTGAGCTTCTACATTCATGGTTCACACCCCTAATCGAGGTGTGACGTTCCATTATATTCCTAGCTCAGCATTGGTTTCTGAATTGGCAATGCGACTTCTTAAGAAAAAATTTTGTGATCTTAGTTTTTGTTCCTGGTAATCACGTTGTTCATGGTCGAATGTCTACATACCAGCTGATGAAAAGCACAGGAGGACCACCTTGATTTTGAAATTAGTTTGCAGTAAGATGGTCTTTCTAGCGTGGCACAGCGGAGAGTGTCTCCGGGTTCAAGTTCAAAAGGGCAAAAACATGAAAGCGAAGGTAGAAGAGATCCCCACAGCAGGAACCCCAGGCCTCAGTTTGTCCAAAGACTACCAAGTTTACTACCAATGTGCTTTAGTACATGAGACTTGCAAAAAGAAGGGCAACAGCAGAATTGTGGAGATGTATAAATTTAATTTTTAATAAAAAAAACAACAAAGTGACTCTGTTAAGGAAGTGGCCAGTAAGAAGGGGATTTCTGAGGCCACCCACGCTGTGTATTTTGTGGGGGTGAGTGATGATAAGAGTCCTCCTAAACTCAGTGCGCACAAGCCTGGAACTCTATGGGCTGAAACGCTTCACTTTCACCTCCTCCACCACTCTTTCTCTCTGCGCCTCCTTCCCTTGACGCAGCACGAAAGAGTTGAGATGAGGTGGGTACACTGGGTTTGTGGCCGCCTCTTCGTTTTTTCACCTCTGGTTTTTCTAAAGTGAGAAGGCAGTAAGGAATAGGTTTGTCTGTCCCTCCTCTAGACTGTGACCACAGCAGCAAGCAGTTCTAAAAAGATCACTTGTTTAGAGCTTGATCAAACATGATAAATAAGCCCTCGTTTCCTTTACGTAGTTATTGTTTTTAATACCATCATATAATGCTGAACTGCTGGCCCTGAATGTTGAAAAGGTCATTTTTTGGATGAAAGGTACTGGAGTCTGTGGTCAGGCGTGAGGTGATAAAAGGGAGGGAACAGAGACGACTTGTCCTGTGATAAACATCACCCTACTGTACTGAAAAAAGGTTCACAAAAGGACACCCACTTGCACTTAGGGAAGATATCACATGTTAAAGTTGAACAATGCATGAATAATACTTTATCTGAGAACATTGTGTACGATTTTAGTTACCACGTCACAAAAAATATATTATTGTTCTCGAACAGGATCAGAGAAGAACCAGACGGATTCCCAGGCTTAAACTAATGTCCATGCCGACAGGCTAATAGAATTGAATCTTTTTAGAGTTCAGACTGAGGCCTTTATTCCAATATTTGAAATCTTAAAGGTATGGAAGACCATAACCCCATGGACTTCATTGCAAGTGACGAAATCCGCAAACTGAAACTAAGGGAAAGTGCAGTTAAAACTCAGAAGAGCAGGCACTTCTTTATACAGAGGGGTGAGGAAGTATGGAACAAACAGGTCAGACACTTGTGGAGAGCATTCCCTGGAAGAAATGGCTGGAAAAGATCCTAAGATCAATTAACAACAACCAAGCGCCCTCTGATTTGTAACTTTATGTGCTACAGATAATGACATTTGATAAGCGAGGAGCCTGAGTGGAGATCAGTCCTTTCAAAGCTAGCCCTGCCTGAAGGAAGGAGCAGTGCACATGTGAAGTGAAAGCATTTTGATTGTTCGTAGGCGACCCACAGGAGTCTTTGATCTAGAAATAAAGGCAGTAAAAGGTATTTAGAGACTTGGTTTTGATTTCAGTGTTGAATTTTGTTTGATGTGAAGGAATACGATTAAAGCACTTAAAGATTTTATTTTAGCTAGGCTCTAGTATAGTGTTGCGTTTGCCTGTCTTACTATTAAAACAGTACTTGAAGAGCCATTATGCTTTTCCTAGCCTGTTCTTAGCAATGAAATAAGGGAAGAAGGTAGTTGTGCTTGTAGAAAAGCCTGCATTGTAGGCTGAGCCATATCTCTCTAGGAGCAAGAGCTGATTATACTGTGAATGGGGAAGTCAGCAGCAGTTTCTTCATTTTAAACACTGAGGTGAAAGGAGAATTCTTGAACCTTTTATTAGTCTTTTGTGCAAGTCGGCCTCAGAAGGTAAATTAGTTTAGCAGAAGGAGTGTTTTTCCAGGAACTACAACAGAGGAACTGTCGAGAGGGGAAAACGTGATGATCTTTGAGATAGCCAAAGGTTTTCTTTTTCCCTTACAAGACAGTTTGATATCAAGATTAAAATGCTGACCACGTGAGGTGTTAAAGCACATGAGCTTCAGTGCTGCGGGGCAAGAGGAAACACCTCCAGACACTCGTACTAAAGATGCAGTCCAAATAAACAAAGAAGAAAGGTGCTTCCCCAGGCTGACGCAGTGTGAGGAGCTGCAGGACTCGGCTTACCGTAAAGGGCTTGTGGGATGGCGCGCTCCTCCTCCGCACTGCTCCCGGCCCACGGCTCTGGGCTCAGGCTCCGGCCCCGGGCACACAGCGCGGGACTAGGGGCCTCTGTCCCATCGCTGGCTGTGAGGCTGCTCTTCTCGTGACTGTCCGGGCCCTCCATGCCGGAGTGGGTTTCCTCATCTTCCCCTTCCGATCCCAGGGCTGTCAGCTTCTCGAAGTCTACTGCAGAAGGGACAGGACCCAGAGAGAAGGTGGTGGCGTCACACAACCCCAGCAGTGAAACTGACCGAAACCTAAACCCATCCCAGCTGCCAGCCCCGTGTGCTGATGTGCTGCAGCTGTGGACTGGACTGCTAGTTTGAAGCTGAAAGCGTACTGAAACCGTAGATTTAAGTCTAACGCAATACTTAAAAGGAACTATAAATGATCCCAGATATTGTAAAGCACCTATTATGCACCAACCCGTGCACAAAATAACTGGTGCCTTTGTAACCCAAAGTTATTTTTCATGTGCTTTATCTTCTGTGAAAACTGTTGTCAGCTCCCTTCTTGGGTAGTCGCTTTTTGTAAAATGCAGGGCAGTAGAAGAAGGGAACAAATCTATGGCATAGTCAACCCTAAATAAATTATTTAAAATGTAGTAGAAATCATATCGCAGCAGCTTTTACACATTTCTAGAATACATTTGCCAAAGTTCAAAGAAATATCAGTACAGATATTTTCCTGGAACGAAATGTTTAGACCTCCACTATCACAAGTCTAATAATACTGAAAGCGCTGTTCACAGAATATTCCGACGCTGAGCTGGAGCTGTCATGAACGGCAGCGCATGGCGGATTATTAGAAATAATAGGCACAGCAAGACTTGCAGCATGGAAAATATACAGATGGCTCTGACAAGTGCATGTTTTGGTGGGCAGAGTTAGTGATGGTATTCAATGATGGCAGAAAAAGGTTCCAAACCTAATGCATAACCTTGTCATCCTGCTTGAGAAAGACTCGAGACCTGCACACTCTGACCTACTAAGCTTCTAAAGCCATTCTTCACTCCATCTGATCTGCCTTGAGATTGGGGTTGCTGGAAAGGAATGACTGCCACATCACCCAGGTGGGGGCTGCACTTCCATTACAACTGAAGTGGATCCCCTCCCATATATAAAACACTTTGACATCCCCTCACATTTAAATTCAAGGAATAAATATCAATTTAAAGTGTGCCAAATGACCACAGAGATGTTCAATCAGGGGCAGCAGCGCTTCCTGCCGCGTCTGCCGCGGTCCTATACAGAGGCTCTCTTTGAGGGACCGCTCTGCCTTGGCACAGTATTTCAGGGGTACGCAGACCCCTGTGTGGTAGGTGGAGACCCCTACATTGGACACATCCTCCAGCCAGACTGAGAAGAACGCGCTGGTCTGCATTATGCATCCATACGCCACACGAAAACTGCAACGTCGCTGGTTTTTATTTCTGCACACCTACTCCTATCTCTCTCTCTGCTTCCCTCCTCCTCCCTCTCTTATCTTTTTTTTTCAGCCATTTGGCAACCCACAGTCTCCACCTTGGCGGTTATCATTTGCAAAGTCATATTTCTCAAACGTTAGATCAAAGGGTTTTACCTTCGAGGGGAAAAATGCTCCCTATTTTTAGATAAGATAAATTGGATTATTTACATTTTTTCTCATTTTGAGAAAACGTCTTTCTTTCAGGATAAAATGTGGCTTAATTTCCTTTTTTTGGGTGGATAGCAAAGGCTGTAGTCTAAAAATGTTTGGTAAATCGGCAAGTGAATGGTTTTGTTTGTACTTTGTACTTGGATGAAATTCCACGTAATTTAATTTTTTTTTATATTTTTCAGTCGTTATGTATTTTAGAACTTCTTGCTGGGAAGATCTTTTACCCTAAACTTTCCATTAACTAAACCAGGCACTCCACTTTGTTGGGTTTCAAAGGGAAATGTTTTTTTCTTGTTCTAATTTTACAGCTAAGAGTACTTGCCTCTCTCCACCAGTTCGTTTCAACTTGAGGAAAAAAAGATGAGGCATGTAATTTAAAGTATGGAAATGGGCAGCTGATTTTCCCAGGAGTCCTGTACAAACTCTAAATAAAGTCTCTGAGAGAAATCTGGGACTTTGCTGGGTTTTTTAGCCATTAGTGAGAGGAGCATGGATAGAAACAAAAGGAAATAGTTTTTAAATTATACATCTCGGTGTAATTTACTGTGGCTTTCAGATAAATATTTATCGGGCAAAAAATTAAAAGATAAATTTTATACATTGCTTATTTTACGTTAACCCGTTCTGTTCCTGCTGCCCAAATGGGTGCCCAGCTGGAGCGGCCTGTTCTTGTAACACCCGTCTGTGACAAACCTATAGAGCGCCCTGGAGAGAAACTGCCATGACAATGCCCAGCTATGAGGGGCTAAACATGTACAGTAATTTTCCTATATTTCATATGTATAGACCTTTTTTTTGTAAGCGAGAATGCATCAATCAAAGCTAGAAAGTACATAAATGTAGATCTGACTAATGAAGTTTTTCAGTTATATTAAAATTGTTCTAATCAGTGATACAGTAGGTGAGCAAGTGACCAAGGTGTGTGTGGGGCCATCTGCATCTAGACGAAGAGAAACTGGTGCAACCTGAATAATATTTGTTTTTAAAGGTTGTGGAGCAAAGGAGCCAGCTGAATAACCACTTCATTGCTGAAGTGTTGCAAGTTCACTTGCACGTAGTTTCAGTATGAGTGTTCGCTTCAGACAATGCCTGAGTGAATGTGTCAGTATCCCTTCGAAGGCCACACCCATGTCATGGCTGGCAGTGAGGAGGTAACTGGACTTCCATGGGCGTCCTGCACTTTCAGCCTATATAATAACAATTTAACATGTTCATGTCCATGCTTTTCAAGGGAATGTACCTACTATTTCTTTATCCATAGAACAGGTACAGTACGTACAGTAGTCGGGAAGACTCTGTTACTCTGATATTTCTGTACCATGCAGAATACAGTGCACTACTATATCCACTGTAGCTGTTAAGTATAAAATCATCATTCAAGTTCATTTGCAGGGGAAAGGTTCAAGCCCAAAACCTGTTGCTGACTGACTTAGGAACGTGAAAGGAAGACGAGTCCCGTTCTGTCTTGCAGCGAGAAAGGCAGGCACTGGGCTGTACACTGTCCCAGGCTGTCTCTCGTGTGTGATCCATTCTCGCTGCTGAGTGACTCGGGAACGCAGTCACAAACACATGAGGGAATTGCAATGGCACACCTCATCCGTCAAACCCCGCACTCCTCCATAGCCTCCTTTACTCGAAATAAACGATTGCTCGTCAAGCATGGGCCGTGCACTTGCATCAATGCATCTTAAATTGGCACGTTTGCCGTTTTGGGCTATAGACTGACAATATGAGCTTTTGACTGATTAATTTTTAAAGTTCAGATGAGATAACGGTGAAGTGAAATGAAATTCTGGTGCCTCAGAAGTCATCTTGTGTTGCTTATGATTTTAGACTGCATTGACAGACTTGATGACTGAGATTTTCCGATCTTAATAAACAGCTGTATACTTTTTTTATTGTATGGGATTGCAATAAGTTGCGTTATAATTTTATCACATAAAATATACACCGGGGATAGTGCAGAACCAGAGCAGTGAGTTAAGGTAATGTATGGGATGGAAATCTGATTTTCAAGTCATGTATTGATCAAATATTTGGTTCCCGTGATGATTAGACTCAGAGATGAAAACATCTCACAACACTTATGAAAACAGTGTTTACATCTATAGTGAATTTTATTTTAAAAAAGGATATTTTAAATTAAAAATGTTCCACTAAATTTTATTTTTCAAGCTTCCATTAAACACTTTTTCATTTAAGGCGAGCAAAGCCTGCGGCTAGGATAAGATTGGGTTTCTCAATGTCTCGTCTTTATTATAACATCGCTTTATTAACCCTTTACAATGTCTTGCATTAGGAGTGATCTTTTCGCATACCCCAGCTTGCTCTCCATGAGACACACAGACAGGGAGAGAGCCTGGGGTCAGAGCGCAGGGTCAGCCATTGTACGGCGCCCCTGGAGCAGTTGGGGTTAAGGGCCTTGCTCAGGGGCCCAACGGAGTAGGATTCCTTAGCAAGGCCCTTAACCCCAACTGCTCCAGGGGCACTGTATTAGACTGCATGCAAGGGCTACATAAAATATGATTATATCAACTCCCATTCTTTTAAAACTCTTTAATATTTTAAGTCGGTAAGAATAGTATGGAGACCTAAGCTAGGAAGGTCCTAGTTTTATTTTTAATGCTAAAATATATACATTTTATTTTTTAATATACAAGTCAAAACACTGTCAAAATTCCAGATATAATGGAGGTAGCATTGTGAACACTACTGTAGTTTTATTTCAGCAAATCAGACAGTCTACAGTAGTTCTGTACTCTGGCAGGAAGCAGTATTTTTTTTGGTTTTGCCCTTTGTCAGCGCTTGTGTGCTTCAGCATCGCTGTAACTGCAGTCTTCTGTAGTGGAAATGTAATGTCTACTACCGTTCCTGTGTGAAACTACAATGAGACACGGTTCACCTGCTATTGCTTCTATTGCTGCTGAATTTTTAGAACTAAAGGAAAAAGGTTTTGTTTTGCCATTGTTGTGGCAGTGTACTGTACAGAATGAAACTTTGAATCCGAACACTTCTGCTCTCTGTGGGCCAACTGGAACCGAGAAAGAAGTCAGAGCTCAGCAAATAACATAACCCAGTATGAAGCAAGGTTAGCAGAATCCACCATGAGTTAAAATTACACGCCCACCTCACTATGGGCATTTAGAAGTTTCACTGGCTTTAAATTTGTGCTGAAAAAATGTCACCTTGAAAACATTTTATGTGAATAACCCCCCCCCAGAAAAGCACAGTTTTACACATAATAGAAATACAAGATATAATGTGACAATCATGTGTAAACTAAGTTTAAACTCTCAGCAGACGTAACTATTGTAAGTATACGCTCAAACAATAATCATTAGTCATTCACAGACAAACAGAAGGAGCCAGATTAAAATGTAATACTGTAAACCCAATTCTGTTTTTTGTATCACATATCTGTATTATATACATTTATATTTACAATATATACATACATATTGTAGATTTTATATTCTAGTGATGAATTCTAACATTCTGATGACAAATATATTGACCAAATAAACTACAGGCATTAGTTTCCTTTTTCT